AGGCAACCTTCCTCCCGTGCATCACAACCATCGTCAAAAATGTATCCGTGACCAGTTACAGTGCACGGGTCTTTGCATGCCAGGTCAGTTTTGGACGAAATACATTTTTGATGGGCACACAACCTGACTTCTTTTTGTGAGCGTGAGGATTTAGGATAGTTTGACGGTTCACCGTGTGAGCAACATGGGTCTTCATTTGATTGACCGTATGCTGTTATAGATCTGCCGTGTGAGCAACACGGGTCTTCAGTTGAATGAGCGTATGCTCTTTCGCGGCTGTTGGATGATTTCTTATCACTCCCACGCAGTAGTAGATGTTCATCTGCACGTACCGAAATGATCACAGCACGCCACTAAATGTGGGTGCGCGCCCTGGTGGCAGGGCACACGGCCGGCGTTGATCCGGATGAACATATCGGACGGCACACGGCCGGCGTTGATGAGGATGAACATGTTGGAGGTGAGCCATCCAGAATGCTTGACCATGTTTGCCTTGAACAACCAGAATGGATCTCTGTTGAAGATGGAAAATTGTAGGTGTATAATGCTTTGCGCCTCAGCCCACGAGGTGAGATAAAGGTTTAGTCTAACCTATAGTGAAAACTATAGATGATTGGAAAGGCCAATCAGACTCGGAGATAGCTGGTTTTCCACAAAATCTATCGAGGTGTTTCTCCCATGATGAATGAATTGAATGAGCCGTCGGGAGGCTAGTACGCTAAACCACCAGTACATCTCCCCGGCTAGTTTCTTCGGACGTGGTGGTCTACCCGCTGCATTGACAGGGACTCGGCCTGCTAGCGGCGCCAGCCAAAAAAAAAGGAAGAATTGCATCCATGCCACTTCGTTCTTTTTTGGCGCTCACCAGCAATCCAGCTAGGGAAAAGACGACTTGGGCGTACTGGTGGTTTAAAAGTGCAGCCTGCATGTGCACTGGCGAAAGTCTCTCTAGGCTCGCAGCGAACCGGTGCTTATAGCTTTTGAGTATTCTGTCCTCATGCATGCCCAGTGGCCATTTGTACTTGCAGCAAGTCGTGGTTTGGCATTTTTTTGTAATTAACTCTTGGATGTTTGTTGTTGTCATTCCTGCAGCACTTGTTGACCAAGGCATGTGAGCCGCTTCCAAAGAGGAGCACTCATCAAGCCCAGCGCGTTAGCAGTCTGCAGCAGGTGTGTATTGTCGACCAACCACTTAAGAGGGGTTAGCCCCTGATGTTTTGGTAAGTGCATTGAATCATTAAATAGGGTCATATGTACCTGACCCCAGTCACGACCAGGTACATATGAGCCTGTTTTTTCCGAACCATCCGAAAAATTAGGAGACTTGCCCCAGACCGTGTCTGGGGTCAGGCGGAAAATATCTTTTGTCTCGGGCGGCGCCAGTGCCAACCCGGACATGTGGGACAAATTTTCTTTTCCACCCGTCCCCTGGCCCGCCGTGGGGCGAGTCCCAACTTTAAGGATCGACTCATTTAAAGTTTGCCTGGGTGATGTACTTGTGGTGATTGATAGATCTAAACGAGTAGATATACGTCTACCATGTTGTGGTGTTCAGCCAGAGTGCAAATAGACAAGTATAGAGTACTATAGACAAGTAGATGTTTCTCTCTCTGTGTTTGTCTATTCAACCAAAATGCAACTATTCTCTATGTTTTTGTTCTACCTATATGTTTTTAATTTTTTGTGCTTCTCAGCCGCAGTGCAGGTAAGCAAGTAGACGTCTGTTTTTCTCCATGTTTGGGTGCTATTCTATGCAAATGCAGAGATGCAAGTAGTTTTCTAGTCTTCTCTTTGTGATTGTGCTGCTCGACCGACTACCCGAGATGCAGATAAACGTAAACTGTCGCATAGATATCTCCCCATTCTTGGCATTCTACACTTGTGTTGCGCTATTCAGCGAAAGTGCTCATCTGCAAGTAGATGCCTATTCTTCTCTATGTCTCTGTGCATTCAACCGAAATGCAGAGATGCAAGTTAGATGCGTCTATTCTCTATACGTTTGTGCTGCCTATATGTGTTCGTGCAATTCAGCCACAGTTCAGATACACAAGTGGATGTCTGTTTTTCTCTGTGTTATGGTGTGCAATTCAGCTGAAATGCAGACATGCATGCGGGTAGATGTCTGCCGTCTTCACCCGAATAGAACACCCGGTAATTATTGCCGTATCTGGACTGAAAGTTGCAGCTATAATGACCGGGCGTTCTATTCGGGTGAAGACGGTAGTCTTCTCTCTGTGTCTGTGTTGTTCTGTCAAAATGCAGATGAGTTGACATCTATTGATTGTCTATCTGAGTGGGGATCCGGGCCGCCCGGGTGACAGGCAGGGGCCCGGGGGAGGTCCCGGGCGGCCTGGCCGGGCAGGGCACCCGGTTGGGGGCCGGGCCCTCCCAGCGCACTCACCTGCCGGGGGATTTCAGACCCCCTTTCGGACCACCTTTGTGTGTGTGTGTGTGTGTGTGTGTGTGTGTGTGTGTGTGAGAGAGAGAGAGAGAGAGAGAGAGAGATGTGTTCGAAACATACTTGCAGCTCATGCGCGGGGTGCCACGCACACACAAGTGATGCGGGGCATTAAAAAAATAGAAAAACAAAAATGTCCTCGTTGTGTTCAGCCTCTTTTCGAAAGGATCCCTAGAGCATATTAGCTAGGACCCGACGTCATGCAGAGATACACTTCAAACTTGTACTACCTGAGGGTGGCCAGAGAATATATAGTCTGGATTCGAATTCAGGTCTGTGCATGTCGGTTATGGGTCACCATTTCTCTGTTTTTGTGCTTTTCTTTTCTTTTCTCGTTTTTCTTTTCTTAGGAATACGTGCAGTGGCCCTAAGGGCCTTTACTCACCGAATGCACAAAAGACAAAACATATGGTGGTGTATTATTCCACGTTCTGCAGAAGATTCATTCTAATTTTGCACATTTCGTGAGTAGTGCAGTCAAGCCCTAAGAGTCACGTGCAGAGACCAACAGGCCCTAGCCACGTGAGCAACCCATAACTGCTGAAACACAGACCTGAATTCGAAACTTGACTACATATTCGGCGAGCTCGTGCTCTATTTCATATTCACTACCTGCCTCGATTTTGGTGGGGGGGTCCGCGCTACATGTCTGCGAGGACCCTTCGGATAGCCTGCATGGGCCGTCTGAGCCGTGTTAAGGGGAGNGTATACACACACACCCCTTACAACAAAAAAAAAAGAAGAAAAAAATGCATCTGCGCCCCATCACAGACACCCCCCAAACCCCAGCACCCCCCACCCAGACCAATCCCCCCATCCCCACACCAAAACCAAAATTTTATTGCAGATTCGGGGTCCTCTCGCCGAGCGCAGAACGACCCCGATTTCAAAATAAAAATAAAAAATTCTGGGCGTTTTTTTGTCCTGCCCGGTTTACCCGGGCGGCCCCCCCGGGCCCAACCGGCTGGGCCCAGCCCGGCAGGGCAGGCCCGGCCGGGCGGCGTCCTCACTCAGTTGTCTATAGTGCAGATAAGTTGAACTCTGTTGATTGTCTATACTTAGTATACTGCAGATAAGTCGACATCTATTGATTGTCTATAGCCGGGGACTTATTGACAATTTTAAAAAACATGTGCGCAGTACTGTGTCGGAATATCTTTCCCGGTGAATTATATAGGGTTATCATTTGTTTGACTTCAACATCTAAGCACATTATTACACCAGGACTTTTTCGAATGGATCTAGCTGTAGTTATGTGCAGAATCTGCAGATTCATGCAGAGAAAAAGCTCTGTCGTTCTGAGTATGCTGTAATTCTACAAGTCTTTGCCACACTGGTCTTCGCCTCTGCTGCTTATTTGGAAAACAATGGATTTGCTTCGGACCGTGCTTGCTTTCTTATGACCCATTCCAGAGGGCTTGGCTGCTCAAGCTGGTGGCACTGGAGCTCCACGTGGCAGATGTCGACATGTCGGCACAGCGGGACAGCTGTCGGGATCTTTTGACACAGCTATTCCGCAGGGAACCGCTACGATGGGAAGAAGGTGGTGCTGGAGGACAAGACAGAAGTCCCATTGGCAATGGCGCACTTGTCATCTCAGGCATGGCGAACGGTGGACTCGAGGAGCTGCCGAAGACCAAGGTATGTGGCACTATCTGCTACATATGGAACTTCTTGGAGAAGATTAGCATGGGCCCTGCGCAAGGATGACACGCATAAATCGAGAAATGGTGCAAATTTTCCCCGGGGGGGGGGGGGGAAGGGAGAGGATCCGCCGTTTGGTATGGAAAATGATTTATGGATGTGTTTGCAGATATGCTAGATATATGCCTTCGCTGTTTACTCTCTCTGGTGTGTACTCTGTGGATATTGGAAACGAAAGAAGTTGGGTTTACCATGCACGAGCTTGTGTTTTTTTTTTTTTTTTGCTACCAACTGAGTTAGGCCCGTTGTTCTTGTGGAAGTTCTAGACTGGGGGGAAGGATCCACCACTTGGTATGGAAAAGGATTTATGGATGTGTTTGCAGACATGTTAGATATATGCCTTCGCTGTGTACTCTCTCCAGTGTGTACTCTGTGGATATTGGAAACGAAAGAAGTTGGGTTTACTATGTACGAGCTTGTGTTTTTTTTTTTTTCCCCCTAGCAGCTGAGCTAGGCCCGTTGTTCTTGTGGAAGTTTTAGACTGTCTGATGTTCGTGCTTGTCGGAGACTTTCCCATTTTGGTAACCATCTTGTGCAGTTTCTTTTCCCTTCTATTGTTTAATGTTTCTGAAACCATTTTTGTCACTGACAATTTGCGCATTGTTGTGGAACCTATGCTTCGTTGGCGGGCAGGTGTTGGAGCTACTTGACATCGTGCAGTTTCAGCTGCCTGAACCGCACGTCGACTTCCCAAGGGAAATGGAGCAAATCCGTGAAGAACTGGCGGTGAGGAGTTCGGATTTCTGGATTCGTCTTTTTTTTTTTTTTTTTTCCCTTTCAAGAATAGCCCATGTGATATCCCTCTATCCTGGCGGTGGTAGGAGAACCGTCAGAATTGAGGGCTTATCTGTCGGGCTGCTCCATATATTGGTGGGGAGCGCCACCTGCTGGAAACCGGGTCCAGCGTCCCATTGATACATCCTGTGACACAGAGATTGCTGTTTGGTGTTTCCTAGGGCTGTGGTCATTATTGTCTCATCCCGGGACTCCTCTGGATTCGTGTTTGCTGGACGAGTTTGTTATTGTCTTTAGTCATCCAACTGTTCAGGTCCGCTCCCGGCATTTTCAGTTCTTGAATTTTCCCCTTATTGATAAATGCTAGGTGTGATTCTCATACTTCTCATCCAAAGCCCGCGCCAGCTCAGTGACAAAATCCCTACTTTCTTCCCTTGAATACACCTTACGGTCATTATAGCTGCATTTAGAGTGAAAGATAGCCCAAATACAGTTATAATGACATGATGTTGTATTCGGGGGAAGAAGGTAGTGTGAGTCAGGTCTCAGTCGAGGAAGTTTTGTACAAAGCTGGATGTGTCTGACTGGAATGACTGTGTTGACCTGAATGTATCTGACTGCAATTTGGCCCAGAATCAAAACACATCAAAATGGTGCTGGCAGTACCAAACAATAGAAAGATTTTACAAAACAATCGGAAAAAAAGTACTACTGTCTTCACTGGAATAGAACGGTCGTTATAGCTGTATTTGGGGTAACTTTCAGTCCAGATGCAGAGGTAATAACCAGGCGTTCTATTTCGGTGAAAAGTCTGAAGACAGTAGTGAGTGTACAACACCCTGAGTCAAGAAAGGTACTGGTGTGAGTACGTACGAAGCTGGTTGTCGTGGGAAAAAAAATAAAAAAAGGGCTTAAAAAAAAAGGTCGAATAAAATGTATTCGTATGGTCGGTATAGTTGTATTTGGGGTAACTTTCAGTCTAAGTGCAGCGATAATAACCGGGCGTTCTATTTGGGTGAAAACTTAAAAGTCTGAAGACAGTAGTGAAGAGTACAATGCCCTGAGTCAAGAAGGCACTGGTGCGAGTACGTAGCAAGCTGGTTATTGCTGGAAAAAAAAACAAAAAAAAAGCCGAAGCTGGATGACGCCTTACCTGATGTTGATTGATATGTGTAATTATCTTGGAGGTTGAAGATTGTGAAAGGAAACCAAGGAAGATGGTCCTAACCATAAAATATTGGTGGCCCTTTTGGACTGTGCGCTAGGTGACAGACATATTAGCAGATTCGGCAACGGTGGAAGAGGGAGGGGTGTACAAAATATCAGAGAGAGGAGACAGGCTGATTGATATCGATGCGCTTAAGGCAGCACTATGGCAGGTAAGCTACTACCCCTGACACGACTACTTTTTCCATTTTTTTTCCCCTTCTACTTTGCACTGTTTCTCCGTTTATGTGTGTTGTCATTGCACAGAGGCCATGGTAACCTTCTCTGTAGCATTCCAATTTTTTAACAGAGGTCCCTCAGGACGGCCCGGCAAAGCATTTAATGTGGAAGAAAGTTCAGGAAAGCTGCTTAGCTCACCAGCTTGTCCTTTGTGTTTTTTTTTCTGGTACAAAGGGGGCAGCCCCTTACTCAATTATATTCGTCTGATTCCGACGTGATTTGACCTAATATCTTTCTGCCAGGGATTCGTAGCTTTATTGGTGAGTTCTTTATTTTAGGAGGCGCTTTTCAAGCTGCGCCCAATGTGGCAACATCAGCAGCCGGGGGAATGCTTTTAGGAGCAGCTTATTCCAATTGGCTCCAACATCATGTTGTTTCAACTTTTTTGGAAATTGGAAGGTGAATTTCAGAGTTACGGCATGTTTACGAACCGTCAGATGTGTACAGTAAGTAAGAGAAATGATTGCACATCAGCTAGCTGGAGCAAAATAAGAGAACTGGTTGTGGTTTTCGGCGGGTAAACCACATGCCAAATTGGCCTGGGTGAACTTGGATATTGCGAAGACTCCTAGGCTACCAGAGTGGCGCAGAACCACTTGCCTGCCGCCCCCCCCCCCCCCCCCTTTTGTTTCGTGGATGTTTTGCTGGCTTGTGATGGGGTGTGAACCGACAGTCTGTAGAGTTTTCCATCTGGTGTGGGTGAGTGATAGTCTACTT